TAGGTTATTATTGGCCAGAACAATATTGTGGTGAACTGTCAAATGTTTTACACAGTGAGTATAATATACTGATATTTTGTGAAACCCCTTAATGGTAATATGAGGGCAGACACTAAACCTCTCAAGAGAAACTGCATTAATGAACTTATTCACCTTTTTTCAATTATAGCCAAAGGTATGCGTGGGCACTGTGTTGATGTCTACAGCAAGGAATGAACAATGGTTTGAGGAAAACATCAGATGTTCATATGAAAAATTGCTAATGTGAAAGCTGTAATGTGGACCTGGGAGCGCACGGAGGTCCCGAACCCGAGACTACCTGGAGGAGGTGGTCCGAGTTCGGTTGCACTTGAACTGTGCAGTGACTTGCGTGAATGTAAAGGCAACAGGGACTCGGGTGCGCACTTGTTCAGGAAGAAAAAAGTAACCGGTTTGTGATGACGTAAGATGAACGCAAATGCTCGAGGGTTCGAGAAAATCAAGTTAAGAGGGAAACCAGACCAGCGCTGGGAACAATCGCGCTCGGACTGCTGCAAACGTGCTCAGTGTAAAAACGGCCTAAGACTCAAGAGCTGTACAGAAACATCAGCATTTTTACCATAGTGAGCCATTCTGCAAAAGGAATGGCGTTCGGAAAATACCTTTATCACCAGATAGATATTGCTGAATTAGTCGTGAAAGCCACCCAAAAGGCTGGGTTTTATAAAGTTGAGAATTCTGAAACTAATTTTAATTAGTTGAAGGCTCTTGAATATTGTTGTGGACAATGGGGAGCCTTGGAGTCAAAAATGTTGAGAACCAATGTCTTAACCCATCAGAAGTCTGATGCGTTTTCTGCCCATCAAACATTGTGTAGGCCATCCTATAAAGAGGGAATGTAGTGAGAATGAGAAAGTAGTAGCTGAATCAGTCAAGTTAAGCGTATATTTAGCTTCATAAGCAGTTGTCTTTTAGTTTGTCGTGCAAGGCTCTATTTTGCTAATGTTGCTTTTGATTAATTTGACAACATCAAGATGATGTAATGCTTTCCTGCTTCATCTCAGATTACAACGGTCTCAAGGGTATCTTTGTAGGAGGGAGTTTTGGAAAAAACAAGGCATATTTTTCAGCGGCTTAGAACCGCTAACTGCATCAATTCTTAAAAAAAACCTGTAAATGCATTCATAAATTCTCCCTTATGTAGCTGGCAAAGACCTCAGATCACCGCTCGCTCACATTCTGGCTGGGAGCAGCGAGGCGAAGATCCACTATGTCAGGGTTTGACAACGGCGCATGGCATACCGCTGAGCAAATGTGCATGAGAGCTGTGCTGTTCCACACCCCCCAAGACATTGAAACATTCATTACAGACAGAGAACAAATCGAAAGGGCAGATTCCATCAGCCCACAATGACAAACTTACTCAGCTCACAACTCTAATAGAGACAACCCCTGAAACGTTCCAGAATCTCACGATGCAGTGCATGCAGGGTCACACACACACCAAACTGTGGCATCCGACAAAATAAAATCCGCTTAATGAGAGAGCCCTGGGGCAGAGATGCCAGAATTCCCAAGATATATCCGAAGATCTGGTCTCATCTTCCCTAGCATCTCCTATGGTCACAGCAATGTCGAGGGGACAAACATCTAAAAATATCCTTATTGCTTCCATTTATAGAACACGCAACGCAAAGCCACAGATCCATTTTTCTCCTAAATGGCAAATGTTCTTTTACAATTCTTTTGTCTTTCCACAAAGCTGCTACGAGCGATAAAGATTTCCAGTCAGGGCAGCTCAATTTACTGTTGGAACAATTCATTTCAATAACTTGTCAGGACCAGGCCCCATTCCATTGACGTTCTAATGCATATATTACATTTTGTTCAAGATTTATGCATTTATCAGCATTGCCTTGTCAATATCTTTGACAATAGACAAAAGGGGATGATATGTGAAGCAAATAGCATTTCCCAAAGTGTGCGTCAAGGGACGCAAAAAATAAATCACAGACATTGAAATTTCATTATGTGGAATACATTTATTTTCTAACACTGTGTCCTAATCAGACTTGAAGAACGTTCGGACTATGAACTCAATGTGAACTTAAGTGTAGTCTATGACAAAGCTGGTTCAGTTACATTTTTTTATAATAATGTTAAAATGCTGTAATATTTATGAATTTTAATTCGCAATTTTAATTGTACTTGTTAATTCGTTGCGAGTGAGAGCCCTATCAGAGAGCCCGTTCACATTCACCTGATTGACTGATTTTTTATAGATTTTTTTTGCATCCTGTAGTCGTGTCGCTTCTGTGTCGACATGCAATAAGATTCCAGTAACAAGTTAAATGTATCGCGTCCTGGCATAGCTGGCAACTCATAGGGCAGCATAGCATTAAATCAAGGATTTGAATTGTCATTCGTGCGTGTCCTGTGACAGCAGATCTGAAAAACATATTGTGAAATGCTACAATTTACCCCTAAGACTTGATCTCAGAATAGTAACAGAAGTGGTTGGAGAAATTTCAATGTATTCCCAAACTCATGGGGGATATGGGGACTTTTTTTACGTTTAGCAAGCTCTGCAATGACAATGTCTTTTCTCAGTATGAACTAAGAAAATCACTAAAATGGGAAATACTGGTATGAATAATGCCCTTTTTTCTAGTTATGAACTAGACTGTAGCGGCCCGCCATAGTGAAAGAATTTTACTTGCCCGACCAAACAAGTAGCCTGATTACAACTTCTATATAATACCCAAGGAAGCAATGAAACGCAAGGACGATTCTGATTTGATCACATTCAGTGTAAAGAGCGATTGATAATGCATAGTGCATTTCTGGTAACAAGGGGCCAATTGCACCAGCCGGACGTAAAAAAGTTGGGTGTAAGCTCTTACCGTTGAATATTTACACATGTTGCACCATCTAAAACTACGACAAGGTGCAGTAGCTTAGCGTAGGCGATGCGTGTACCCGCTATGGTTACAAATTTGAATTTATTGGCTACAACGAATAGATGATAAATGACTGCTGAGCCAAAAAATAAAATATAAAATTTACTCAGATTGTGAAACAATAAAAATGATTGAGCTATTCAGTAAGTATGCATATTTTGGTATACAAGCATTGACATAAAATCGAAGAGAAATTAGCACCTGCAGTGTTGGGGACAGCGCTCCGTTACGTGTTGTAACGGCGGTGATAACTCATTGATTAATTCTAACAATTCAACCCTGCTGCAACGAAAAGGTTCAAGAAGTTCTGTCTCCATATACATCTAGAGGATTACTCTGCCAAGCGTGCCGCACAAGTCCTGAAAAGTGAAGCCAAATCCTCTCGATCGCCCCCAGGTGATTGGTCCCAGTATAGGTCATAAACCCCGCCCTCCCCATGAAGTCTAATGGGACACGATGGAAACTAAATCAAATTACGCTTCAAAATAAAAAAAATTCCAAAGATTTTTTTCTGTCATTTCAGGTAGTTTTTAAGGTAACACTTTACTTGAAGGGGTGTGCATAAGACTGACATGACACCTTCATAATCATGACATGACATGTCATGAATATGAAAGAGGTTTTATGCATGTTTATAACAACTGTCATTAAGTGTCATTCACTCAATTATGACATTTTTTATGCAAATGACATTGTTTGAGATGTCTTTGTTATGACAGCTTGACAAACCAATACACCATAACCTGTCAGTGTCTTGGTAATGACAACTTTACCAAGACAACATAAATTGTCATAAATATGTCATAACATGACATAGCAGATTAATTATCAAACTATAGAAACCACTTAGCTTTGTGGGTTAACATTACAATAAACTGTCAGGTGGTTGGTTTTGACATTGGCTGTCATGAGGCCATTATAACGGTCATGAATATTTTTCTTGACCTCAACTACAGTGGTACAAATTGAATTTGTCATTAAAATGTTATTATGGCCTCATGACAGCCAATGGTTTATAAAAAAAACAAATTATAATAAACAAATATAGCTTTGCTATATACTTTGTACAATATACTGTTGTATACTATATAGGGCTGTGCCAGTAAACTCGACAACCACTCCACCGTAGTTGTAAATCTCCACAGCGGTGGCGGAGTAGCACTGGCGGTGGTGCGCCAACACATTTTTTGTATGTGAATGCCGTTTTACATGAATATTATGACGATTAGGTATCGACCCGCGCATCACTAATGCCTATCCTGCTGGTGTTTTGCCGCTGCTTACTGCTGAACCGCGTCATAGCTCATTACCATAAAGTTGAGCTTCTTTCAACTTTCTGATTGACGCTCAAAACGCGACAATGCTTTGACGCTCCTTGCAGCTGAGAGAAGCCAGCTTCCATTGAAAATGAATGACTTTGGAAGCTCAAGTCGGCAGCGGTGTGAACGTACAGTAACCTGCCGTCTTTGTGCAAAAACTGGTGTAAGCATGGCAGGAAAGAGTCGTGCCCTCTGTCACAGCAGACCGCCAAGCTGCCCGGTCTTCCGCAAGGTGATGCCATCGGTCAGGGTGGATGTTAAAGACATTCATGACATGTGTAGGAATTTCTCCCATCTAGCGGTGAAATTGTATTTTGCATTCAAACGAATTGTGCTCTCCAGCGCCTCGCTTTTTCAAATGCGTTTTGCAACTACGGTAGCCGTTATGTACCAAAAAGCTATGACAGGACGTCTTCTAATAGCACTTCGTCGAGTTTTCCTTCGGGTGAACAGGTTTGTCATTTCAAACAAACTGCAACTTGACACAACGAACAAACGAATGTTACAGTATGAATTACTGACTGTGAAAAACATGAAAATACTATTGTAATTAGTAGTTATGCCTTCTTTATTCGTTATATTTTCTGAAGTACGTGCATTGTTGTCAGATTGATTAATTTTACTTAACTTTACAATATTGTCTTGCCCGCAAACCCCCCCTAGAGGGACCAAGGACTGCCCACCACAGTCTCACAAAATCCTGTGGGAAACACTGCATACTATTCAGTGACATATGCATTACCTGGTTTTGTGCAGTTCTCCTCAGTCTCATTGTCTCCCGCTATGGCCATAAGCCTTCGGCCCAAGTGATCTCTTTGAGCAGCAAAACCCTCCTGTAGCACCAGCCCATGACCTGTGTATGAAGATGTATCTCATTACATAAAATATTCAGAATTATCTGTAGATATAGAAACTTAGGCCTTACATGTATTGTACAAAATATAAATGATAAAATAAAATTAATGTTAGTATTTTGTTAACCTAATATATTTCTGTAAAAGTGTTCATTTAAACAGTCAAATATTGTTTAAATATCACTTAAATGTCACTGAATAATTTTATATGTTTGTATGTCACCTTGCATTACATTTGATATCATCGACCCAAATACTCAAAGAATGGTTAACAACTTGGAGCTAATTAGCTAAATTACTTGTCGGTTTGGGGTTCGGTGTGTGATACTGTGGCCTTGATCTGCCAGGCTTTCTGTTTTAATCAATGTTCCTACAGGATGTGCATTGTATTATGGTTAGCAGCACCGGGGGTATTTATTTTGGGAAAATCTGAAGAAAAAAAAAGAAAAGAAAAAAAATTGGTGTGAAGATTCAGCCATGCATACTGTACTAACAGCCAGAGCTTGAATTAGGATTTTGTGTCTGTATGTCTATGCTTCAGCACATCACTTTTCCATGAGGATATGCAATGAGGTCCAAAAAACAGGATAATCACATTTATCTTGTTATGAAACTAAGCATAGCACACAATTAGTGGGGCATATTTATTGGACAGTTAGCATTACAGCTGTTAATCACTGAACACATTATGTTTATTTATATTATTTAAAAAAAAAAAAAATTCACCCAAAAACTAAAATTCAACAAAAATATTAAAATGTGTGGTTACATTTTCTGTATAGCATGACAAATTATCCAACAGAATGACTAGGCAGCTGTAGCCATAATTCGAGTTGGCAATCTGTTCTATTTTTGAGGATTTTCCTGACATTCAATAGCATAGACACTTCTTGAACGCCTGGATTCTTTCCCCAATGCGGTCTGATAATTTGTATTGTTTAGCTTTATATGATGGCTTTTATTTACATATAAACATTGAGCAGCAAACATAAACAGAAGGTCGACCGAACCTGCTTCACGCGCAAGAACAAACCTCATTGGCTCTTGCAAGTCAAGCGAACATGCTTGAGCTTCCGTTTTTTTTTATATCAGATGTGTGCATTGATGAATGTTTATGTGAATAAAAGCCTAAATTAAATATTCAATCATATAGAGCAATTGTGTCTCTTCAGAAAATGTTGACTAAACAGCTCAATTCATATGGATTCGTTTTATGATCTCTATGAACTTTTTGGAGCGACAAAGTGGTAGTTGCGTGGAGTAAACAATGGAGGGACATATCAAATTTCATTAAAATACCTTAATTTGCGTTTTAAAGATCAATGAAATTATGGCTTGGTACACATGAGGGAGAATAAATGACAGGTTAGCTAACTCCATTAATAAATCGGTCCAAAAATGACTCTCAAACCATCAGTTTCAATAAGTCCAATTACAAATGTAGAAGTAGTTCTTGACATTTTACTAGAGCCCGACCGATATATCGGCGGGCCAATATTATCGGCCGATTTTAGGCATTTTCCTAACTATCGGTATCGGCATTTATAATGGCCGATAAATGAATATTTAAAAAAATGCGGGTGATTCATGTAAGGGTGGCGCTGCCAATAAAGCACCTAAAAGCTGTCACAAGAACTGGCAAAAGTAATGATTATGAATACAACAAATATAGCAAGGAGACATTTTAATTGTTTATTAATAAACAAGTGTTTTCAGTCAGTGTCAGCCAAAGATGAAGTTGACGATGCTGACTCGCGATCTTCAGTGAGCGCGCGCCAGAGAGAAATGCACATTTCATACGATTACATGAGTCTGTCTGGCTTTCGTTTTGAATTGTTCTGTTTAAAAGTAGACATTTCAATATAGATATATTTCAATTTCGAGTTTCGGTTCATGAGACGAGCTCCAGTTCACCCGCAGGCGCCTCCGTGTCGAGATTATCTATCGTCTGCTAAATTTACTTCTTATAAATTAAATCCAGGCAAATGGCTGATGAAACATTGATTAAAATTAAGATACAATTAATACAAAACGAAATTCACTTTGAAACGAAAGGTTTTGTGCTTTCTGTTTGATGTCTATGTGAAAGTTTCAAAGCATATTTTAGTGCCGCTTTCAGAGCGCTCACGTCCGTAGTGCTGAACTGTCGCGTCTGTAACATTGTTTTTTCCTCATAAATGCGAACACGAAAAATAAAATAAAATGAATATTTTATGTAGCCTGTGGAGACTGAGAGCCAACCCTTCTTCATCCGGTGGGTAGTAGCCTACTTGTGATTTGCGCAGTGTAATTCACAGAATTGATTTCTCTGCTACAAGCCTCTCTCACGTTTCTATTGTGTGAGCTTGTGACTATTGCAAGCGCGCAGCTGAGAAGTCCTGATTATATTGTCTGCTATATTTAGGCCTACTTCTTATTTATTAAGGCAATTGGTTGATGAAACATTGATTAAAATGCGTGGCGCGAGCGATCTAAGACAGTAAACTGATTCTGCTTTGTCTCGGGTAAACAGCTGTTGCGACGCGAGCAGTAATGGCCGCGTCCGGTGTAGACACAGTGTTAAAGCTCATTCTGCCTATAACGCTACAACATCAAGCAATATTCCAAAAATGTATATAATTATAACACTTTATATAGGGCCATTTTGCATTAAGAGTAGCCTAGTTTCACGTTTAGTACATTTTGCTTACTAATTATTTAAAATAGTATAAAAGTACTGTACATATGTAATTAAAAACGTTTTCATTATGATATTTTTAATTTTACTTTAGTAAATAGATCTGAGTTCTTCCTCCACTGGTAGAGATTAGAGGAATTAAGAGTAAAAATAGAAGATAATAAGGTTTTGTCAGTGACACTTTTTATATATTTATTGATACAAGTTATGACTAAATTAAAAGACAAAGTCGTCGTTAGTGAAGATTATGCAACAGTATTTAGAATATAATATAATATAACATGCAATGCAAACTAGTTTGGTTACAGCTCAGCTGTATAATTCTCATTCTATCATTCCCCCTGCCTCCATTACAGTGTCATCTGTGTCACAAGTGTTTGATTACCACATTTGAGTGATCATTGCAAAACGTGTTTATAAAATATATTTATTCTGTTTATAGCTACTGTGTAAAGTACCCATCAAAAGTTTGTACACACCAATAGGAAAGTGTCCAAACTTTTGACTGGTATACTGTACTATAATACACATAAATAATATTGCTACTGTATTATAATATACACATAAATAATATCGGCCGATATATCGGTATCGGGCTTTTTTTACTCCCTAATATCGGCATCGGCCCCCAAAAATCCATATCGGTCGGGCTCTACATTTTACTTTTGTCATGTCTAACTCAAAGTGAAAACTGTTACTGTGTTGCGTAAAGGGTGAAATGTTCATTTTAAATTGTTAAATTTTAAAATGTTAAAGTATTATGCCCCTTTTTACAAGATAAGTGTCTGACGTCCACAGAATCTGTATGTGAAGTTTTAGTTCAAAATACAAAAATTTTATAGCATGTTAAAATTGTCTCTTTTTGAGAGTGAGCAAAAACACATCGTTTTGTGCATGTCCCTTTGAATGCAAATGAGCTGCTGCTCTCGACACAGAGGGCGGAGCTACAACAGCTCGTGTCCTTAACAGCTTGCAGACACGCACTAAAATGTCAGAAACCATTCTGCCTTTTATGTTCAAACCGGAGTCGGACAATGATAGAGAGACTCAAGAAGTGGTGACAACATGTAGAATGCAACAGGAAGTTTCTGAATGGTTAGTTGATGAATTTATGAAGCTGATGTGGAGTTAACTATCTTCAAGTCATTGCTTAGCATATTCTGTCATGAATCATGATAATCTATAAATCGATCGCGTGGGAACCGTTGTAAGATGCCTACAGAGTGGCATGCTATTGCATTTGTGTTATGTACTGTATTGCAATAAATGTGAAAAGACAGATGCGACATCTTGAGCAGACTCACAAATGTGCTCTACTACAACAACTCTTCCTCTTCTCGTGGACTCAGCACATTGGCCTTTGTCGTGTGTTCCCGAGGGCAAGGTTTATGTAAATTTTAGGGTTTGTGATGTCACTAACCCGAGAAGAACCTTGTGTAGTCCCTATTACCCTGTTTATGCTCAAACAGCAACATTACACACTAACTAAAGTTAGAAAAATTAAATCATAATCAACCACCCCTTTAAATTATTTCCGATCCCAGTTTAATATACAAAAAACTATATAACAAGACTTTTATATAACAATTCCCCTGAAAAGTGCAAAAAAAAAAAAATGTATTGAACTTTATTAAAGAAAATATGTTTTACCAAAATAGTGTTTTTGATGAGGGTGATGACAACTTTCCTTTTCGGGTGACCTATTTCTTTAAATACAAAAAAGATATTTTATCTCTTGATTCTATAAATACTTGCTACCGTACATTAGTTGCAGCCAGATAGACACTGAAAAAAAATCCACATGCTGAAATCTACTGCAGCAAAACCTGTCAAAATATTCAGGAACAGAATGACCCACTTACAGCTTATGAGAAGCATAAAAAAAAGTTCCAGTAAAGTTGTGTAACAAACTGTCACAGGAGGACAGGATAATAAACTCAACAGCCATAAAGTTCATTAACCAGCATTTTCAGCCGGCACTAACTTCTTTAGTTATCGATGGAGGTAAATGAGAAGATGCAAAAGAACAGGAATGAGAATTGGGAAGCAGGAGTAATGACAGCAGGAGTGCACAGCAGATGGACTCCTGACAGGCTCATCAGATATGCCAGTATTCGGAGAGCCATTAAGCAGAAAGCACATATTCAGCAACCTCATCATTACAATATCATGTGCAGGTAATCCCTTAAGCTGCTTGTAATTTTGCCGTAATTAAACTCAACCGCACCCACTAGTATTTCTCAGCCAGACGGGCAATGCTGTACACTTTGTAGACAATGCGAGTAAGTGGAAAAGCGTGATACAAAAATCCCCTGTAATGAGAAATCATTTGTGTCTGAGATGTGCTTGTACGACAGGGAGGGCTGTACGATTAATCATATTTTAATCACGATAATGATATCTGCTTCGCTTGATTAATTCAAAATAATCGTCACCATATTGGCTCGCTCGTTATTTATCCTGAGAACGATTTTTTATTTGACATTTGGTCAGCTTGCATTGGTAACAAGTCCTAACTAACATTGATGTTTGTGGTTGCCAGATGTAAAGAGCTTAAATCCCCCAAACTAGTATTGGTAAACTTTTAACAAACAATCACGGTCCCCAATCTGATTTGCGATCTTCACAATTTTGAGATGTACTATCGAGAATATCCAGACTGGAACAAGCCTATGGACTTATCTATTTGCACACAATATTGCATTAAACAACCAGTTGTCAAAATAGTAATTAAATCCAGAGTTAAACTTTAAAACACTACATAGTCTTTAAGACCGAATGCATGAATCCAATATAACAGGGTTTTTCCTGCATAGAGAACTACGAGGCTCCCGCCTCCGTCAAATTTCGTGCCGCCTCCGGCTCTCGACAAAACTCGGACAGACAGTCACATGCTCAGATACACTTTCCCCACCGTGACGGTTATGTTGCGGGTTCCCGGCCTGTGTTCATTCTAAAACCGTATTGTTGGATCATAATCCGCGGGTCGGGCGGGCCAAGTAATAAAACACAACATTCCAATTAATCGAGGGTGGATGACTGATAAATCATTAAAATGTGTTAAGTTTGATAAAAGACACGGAACTCTCATCACGGTAAAACGTAATGAACGTGCATCACTCTTTTACAACAACGTAATTCTCTTCAGGGAAAACCTGCAAGATTATAATTAAAACCAAAGATTAAAGATTAAAACCAAACAAGGAAAACGCATGCCTGGGCTCGAACGGGACACGTGTGTTTTTTTTGAAGGAACAAGTGAAAGAGGATTGTACTTGCCCAACAGGACAAAATGCCCTGATTAAAAAAAAAATTATATATTAAAAAATATATATATAACTAGGGAATCACCAAAGACGCGAGGATGATTCTGATTTTATTTCATTTAATGTAAGTGCCGATTGATAGCCTATAGTTGATAATAATATAGGCCTACCTAATGTAGGCCTACTGACGGTAAACAAAGTTGCGCTGTTGAGGCCCGCGCATTTATTTATAATATATTATACAGTTAAGAAACATCCCACCAGAGTGCTGGTTTCCGGAATACCATCACGAATTAAACCGAGGCAATGATTTCATAACAGTTCAATAAACAAATAGTTAAACTAAAGGCCACTAAAGCGTTTTTTTTCACGCGGCTGGCGTATTTTTTCAATTGTTTTCAATGGGAGCGCCGCATTTTTGCATTTTTGAATGCCATGAGACGAGGTGCTGAGTTTTTTTTTTTTTTTTTCGCTGAAGTGCTGAAGCGCTCAGCGTTTTTTACAGGTTGAAGAATGTTAAACTTTGGGTAAAACGCAGCGCTCATCACTGTCACTTTTTACCCAGCCGTCCAATCACAGTGTAGGAGGGGCGAGACAAATACCACACCGACCAAATGTCACAACATTCTTTCTGTACAAGGACATCAACCAGCAGAGCTAACCGAACAAAATGGATGAAAATTTAATTTTTAGTATGAAACAAATTATCTGCGAAATCAGTTACAAGTAAACTGTGCTGCGGATATTCTGTATCATAGCAACGAAGTGTCTCAACTGAAAAAACACTGCGCTCCCAAAACGCTCTCAAGCGCCCACAGCTAGGCGTTTTCAGCAGAGCGTCTAGCGTTTTCAGCTGGCTAAAAACGCTTTAGTGGCCACACGGCCTTAGAGCGAAGAGAGAAAAAAAAAAAAACCTTTCCTCAAGCAAAGTGATAAACTCTTCCTGGCCTTATAACTATTTGAGAACGAGCCAAAGTAGCCAGCAGGCAGCCATTATGCAAGTGTGTTACATGGTGATGAAGCTACATTACGTAAATAATGTCAGGACTACAATTGAGGCTTTTAAGGCAGGGGTTTTCTGTTGGATCAATTAACTCCCTTTGCCATTGACTTTATAATCTTGCAGATAGGTTACATACACAAAAAGTCAGGTAAAAAGGTTTTCTATGAGACCATGTAGTTGATTTCGAGGTTTTTAACTCAGATGTTTTCTGTTGGAGCAGCAATTAATAGAAGCAAGGTGTGATTGCTTCTATTGTGATTGCTTCTATTCAAATGATCTGAGAAAGATGATAACTTAACTTAGCTAAATGATTTTGAGACATATGCTTCCTTTAAATTTCGTTGAGGGAGACTGTTAGAAACTTCACTTAGAACACCGTTATCTTGGTCTCTGCAACGTCTGTCAGAGTGTCAGCGCAGCGCGTTCTCTCACTCGAGCATGTGGATATTATTGTTTTCTCAACATGAACGTAAAACAATATAAACACGATAACGATATTCTGACTCTTTCTGTACGATAACTGGCGCGGTCTGCTTTATTAGCGTTTTTTTCCATTAGCCTGCTTGAGCTTAAATGCTTTTGTTCTTTATATTTGTAGTTTACTCGTATTGTTTAATGTTTCAACTAAAAGAAAACCTTAAGATATATTTTAAGCTTGTTGTGTATATTGCTAATCATAAGCTTGTTCAGAAATGGTGACGAAAACTTAAAAGAAAACTTAAAAAAATAACGTCTTTTTAGTTAAACGTTATTTAAATAAACGAATATTCGATTTTTATGAGCCCGAATATTCGAATGCAATATTTTTGAAAAATGCCCATCCCTAGTTTGGATACTGTGCATAGTACGTCACAAGCATCACACAAGACCAGCGTCGGCCAATAGTGAGCCTACATTCTGACGTACTGTACAACACAGAAGCGCTGCGCTGTTACACTACGTGAACTAAAGTCGTTAATTTTGCACACAAAAAGTATTCTTGTCGCTTGATAAACTTATGGTTGAGCCACTGTAGTCACTTACAGGCCAGGGTTAGAACAACATGAGGGTGAGTAATTATTGACAGAATTTCCATTTTTGGGTGAACTAACCCTTTAATATTACAACCTGACACAAAAGCTTGTGCTTTCGGTTTTGTTTTTTGCACAATGATAAATTGTATTTTAAGTAATTAACTCCAAAAATCATCAGGTATATCAGTGAGAGAGCGACCCGCAACACTTATGGAAAGAATATCCGTTTTTGTTTGGTTGGTTTATGTATTTTCAGTCCGTGTCTTTCTCTTCGTGACACACGAGTAACTTGTGTAAGGAATACATCAAGCACACCATAGCACAGAGAAAAAGACAGTACTCTTGAAAAGCTAACACACCAAGTATAATTAATTATTGCGTAATAATGAGCATAATGTTTAAAATGTTTAAGGGGGATTGGTAACATATTTGTTGTCTCACCTTGCAAAGCCCAGTAATCATTTGCTGATGGAAACGGATGTGAATAAAGATGGTGTTTATATTTGGTTGTTAATGCATTTGCACTTGCAAGTACCTAAATAAAAGAATGAAATACGTGCGTTTACATCCCTTGGGTGGTGGGAGGATATAGGACATGGAGTGCGGGCATCCACTGGCAGAAACATAAATCAGTGCCTATGAACGATAGATAAAACCAAGTCCCCACCCTACATTTTTTTTCTTTTTTTGATATCCCATTAGTCACATGTACATGACAATATAAAAGAAAAAAATCTGTCGCTACTTCTGTTTCGTGACTGCTTTAAAGAGCTAAAATATACCAAGAAAGTTGTTCCCTAGGTAAATTGTACTTTTTTTTTGCAACAAGAGTAAATTATTTACATGGTTGTTGTTAGAACATAAGTGTCAGGCAAATAGCAACGAAGTACGTTCTGGAATACATTCTTTAAGTCAGCATGAAACAGAAGTTGCGAACGATAGACTTTTTCCTTATTGTAAAGTATATACAAGTGAAACTGATTCTTGAAAAATAAAAAAATGTAGGACAGGACTTGATTTTGTCCATCGTTTTGGTTTGCTATTGGTGCAATCTCGTGTGAGTGACAGGTTGATCCCGCCCTCACGCCAGTAAACACGTCATCAGAGAAGAGATGTTGCTGCAAGAGGGAGGGGAAGTTATTTTGATGAAAGATTACAAGAGATGTTCTACTACAGTACATTCAATGAAATGTAATACTCATGAAAGTACACCAAGCAATCAATTCAATGTAACATTCAAGAAAATCAAGTAATACTACATTAATGAAAGTAATCTTAAGCAATTTTAGTCACAGATATGGCTGTGACGTTGACTCCGCCCTTCAAAATACTGACCCGCCCATCTAAGCGTTTGAGACTCGATTCAAACTCTGACAGCTTGAAATGGCAGCTAACGTTAGTCGTCGAATGATATGAAACGGTGCATTCATTTATTTTTATCATACCGTTACTTACAGACGAACAGAAACAAAAACTATATGTGAAAATGACATTTTGGAAATGAAACGGCTTGAAATCAGCGTTGTTTGTCTCATTTCGTTAGACTTAAAACACACAAATGAGAATATAACGTAAGCCTAACTACAGTATACCAACCGACAAAATATACAAATAGGCTATCCAACAGAATAACGGATGATGCTTCCAACCGTCTTTGTGTAATCATTTGAATTCTGAGAGAAAATGATGCTCGCCTGTTAATAATTCAACGTCTGACGTCCCAAAAAGGACAAGCATGTACTGCTACCTTGTATCGGCGAATTAATAATACATTATACGATAATGAACCTCATAATTAGCGATGTATAATATCACCAAACCATATAGGGACAATCACTTACCCGTTTTTGTGAGCAACGCCGACATACACCAAGCCAATAACAGGACGCTGCAGATGAAGCACACCTGCACTAACAGCATTTCTCTCCTTTTGCGAACTTTAAAAATTTTGGAGATCATGTTCTTTTTTGACATACTGCAGCTCTGCTCCAGGTCCGTGGTCGTCTGAGGCTGTGTCATTTTGTAAGAGTAATTTCTCCTCCGAGTCGAAGCCACACAGATGGCCGGGACCGCAGGAAATCAGGCTCGGGATGAGGTCCTCCTCATGTCCAGCGCGCGGATCCCGTTCCCGTGTTCAGTGTGGCAGGAGCGCGCGGCGGCGTGCATGCGAGAGATTCCGTCCCAGGTGCCTCCACGCGCTCGTTCTGATGTTGTATTATTAAAGCAACCCGCTTGAGAATTGTGTCCTATTGCTTGAAAAACGCTAATTATAATCAGCTGAAATTAATCACTGGACGGTATGCAGCCGGGCTTCACAGTTGTCTGGTGATAATATGACTAAAACATTTTCTTTGGCATAAGAACCATTCACGGCGAGCTAGGTATAGGTCTACTGTTATTTCATGAAATATATAAGAACCGTGTCAGTAAACATCTTTTGGGTCCGTGCTCTCAAGTTGAGGTTTCATCTCCCTCTCTCATGCAGCTGCCGACTTCTACATGTGAGGGACTGTTACGCGCGTTCACGTGATACTGATGACGTATGCACTGTGAGCCTACTACACTGACTACTATAATCCTTGGAAAAGGCATGGCTTCTACCATACAAATTGTGTAGGCTATTTGATAAAGCAACTGAAGGTCATTCTAAAATCATACGTAAAATAGCCTACTATCACACTAATGAATTATATCAATTCTAAAATCAGTAATGATCATTTTATTTTGTGAATCTTGTGTCAATGGAACATTTTTCTTTAAAGGTAGCAATTTTCAGCACTAAGTTTGCCTTAATTATATAATGCAATATGTTATTTTCTTGTGATGTACATCAGGCCTACCACTCAAATGATTGAGATCAGATTATTTTTTAAATAATTGTATTATTTTACTTAGCAAGGATGCATTAAATTAACCACAAGTGACATTAAAAACATTAAAGATGTTACATTAAAAAAAAACATGTTATTAAAATATGCTAAAATATAAAACAATTATTTAAATAGTAATAATATTTCACATTGTTTATGTTTAACTGTATTTTGGTCAAATAAATTATTTGGAGAGCATATAAGTGACTTTTAATGATATACTGTATATTCACACTGTAAGTAAAAAATTATTTATATTATATTATCAGTTCAAGTTTGAGATCTTCATACAAGATCTGCATACATCTCAATAATGTTAATCATCGACCATTTCAAAAAACAAAAATGTAGGCCTATTAAAAAATTTCCATTCAGTGTTTTAATCAATTACCAAAAAGATTACTAATATTTAATATCAGTACTGGTATTTAATATTTAAATACCTGTATATTACAGTATTTACTACATATAGCAATACTGTGAAAACACTAAACTGTCATAAATTAATCCTTGGTGAGTCACTTTGACAGACTAAGGTATAAAGCAGCTTACATCATGACGAATGGCTGAGCAACATTTTTTCCAAGCTTTTTCATGGGTTCTTATGTGTGAGGCCCTACAATTACAAAAAAGTGGTTCATAAACTTAGTAATGCATGTGACCGCAGGATGCAATGGTTGTACTTTTAAAGGAAAAAATGCTATTTTTGTCCCCTGTTTGAATGATGTATAGTTTTAGAAAATGTCCGGTGTAAGTCAGTTCTCAATATGATTTTATTTTATTTATCTAGTCACAAAAAGGGAGAACTGTAATTTCAAGAAAACAGTGCATATGTTAAATCATAATGCCTAAAATTAAATTCACTGGGTGAAAAAGCACAGAATTGGTAATGGTTATATTTTCACAACCAAATGGTGTGCAGTGAAAAAATACGCCCAAACAAATGAAACGTATATGGATATATTAGAAACATATAGTGAACAGTGAAGTGATGTAAAGTCCAAGTATGGTAATCCATACTCGGAATTTGTTCTCTGCATATCCAAGTTAGATATATTGAAAAAAAAAAGAAAAAAGAAGACAATTACCATTTGCAACCCATACTCAAGTCAACAAACAATATGTCCCAAATGATATGTCTGCAATGGAAAAAGTCCTCAGCCTCAATATTAGCTGATGTTTCTCAGACTTATCTTGTTCACTTCAAACCTCCTATTCCATTTTTAATGCAACCTGGGCTTTGACCTAATAACCTATCTCAACGTCATTCGCATTTACAAAAAAAAAACACATTCTTGTCAAAGAAAAACTGGTAGATTATAGTCATAAGTTTCCACCCACATATAATGTAGTTTGTGTGAGCCAAATGTTTTCAACCTTTTTTGATAGCAATACTGTTTTTGACTTCAGGTTGTTGTCTGGCTCGATTCACTGCATCAATAATATTTTCTGAGAACAGAGGCCACTTCCTTCCTATAGTCTCAGCCTCAGTCAGTGAACCATGCTGGTGGTCAGAAATATGGTTATGGTTAGACTACTTTCTGTCTTCATATGTAGGGCAAAGTTGTGCCCAGTGCCTTTTGGATTACTGACTGTTACACTTTTATTGACTGAGACAGTCAGTAAGATTGATGGTTGGGAGTGAAAATCATTTGGCTACTCCGATTGCCATGGAGGGTCACCCATGTTTTTACTGAAAACTTCTGTCGTCTTGCCATCACAGCCAGCAGCCATATCACCCTGTAGCCCAAGACTGGTTGCCCACTGAGGCTAAGCAGGGTTGAGCCTGGTTAAACCTGTATGGGAGACCTCCTGGGAAATTGCTGCTGGAAGAGGTGTTAGTGAGACCAGGGGGCGCTCACCCTGTGGTCTGTGTGGGTCCTTACGCCCCAGTTTTGTGATGGGGACACTATACTGTAACAAACACCGTCATTCGGATGAGACGTTAAACCGAGGTCCTGACTCTCTGTGGTCATTAAAAATCCCATGGCACTTCTCATAAAGAGTAGGGGTGTAACCCCGGTGTCCTGGCCAAATTCCATCCATTGGCCCTTACCAATCCTGGTCTCCTAATAATCCCCATTCATTGAATTGTCTCTATCACTTTCTCTCCTCTCCACCGATAGCTGGAGTGTGTTGAGTGTGCTGGCGCCGCTGTACTGTGGCTGCCGTCCCATAATCCAAGTGGATGCTGCACACTGGTGGTGGTTGAGGAGAGATCCTGTGATATGATTGTAAAGTGCTTTAGGTAGTACATATGAAAGCTCTATATAAATGGATTGTTAATTTATTAATTCATTCATTCATCACCAGCCCCTTTGACGGCAAGACCCTGAAGTCTTTGTTCTGGATTGGACCTAACCACCATCCCACCGTCTGGAGAGTGTCTACACACGGTCCAGAACAAAGCCGGACCCAGAGCCTGTTTCACCACCTACGACCACGGAGGAATCATGTGAGCCCCCCACAGACGGAGAGCCAGAGCCTGGGGATAAGGTGACAGCGCTGACCCTCACCCTGGAAGAGGAGCCCCCCAGTGAGTCTGACCAGAGATGTGAGCCCGCAACATCTGTAGCCGAGGGTATACTGGTGGAAATTGAGACTGAGGACTGGCTGATGGACTTCAGTACTGAGGTATCGTCTCCCACCCTATCCCACCCCGTTTCATGTTCCTCATCGGTGTTCCTAGACAGCACTATGGACTATTTGGACGGTAATTTGTTTATTTGTTCTGAACCTTCATCGATGTTTATAGATAGCACTGAGAACTATTTGGACTATGATTTGTGTCTCCATCTTGGCTCCTCCCACATTCGGCTCCTCCAAACATCCTCTGCCTTGTGGCTCCATCGGATTCCCTCGTCCCACCGGCTCCACCTTGGTCGTCACTCGGTCCGTCTCACGGTCCGTTGAGCTCCGTTCCTCCACCCCTACGGATGCAGCAGGCTCCTCCTTCCCTTCAGGTACGCCTCGGTCCTCGATTAAACCGGCATCACCTCAGTCCTCGGGGCACTCTGGCTCCACCTCAGATGCTCGTCACCGCGGCATCACCTCGGCCTCCTGTGCCAGCTCTCCGTCTGCGTCCTGGGATCCATCAGCTCCATCTCTGTTGGTCGTCCCCCAGTTGTCGTCAGCCACAACACCACCGTGCGGCTCCTTCCTCCCTCAACTCCACCTTGGGCTGTCGTCACTGGGCTCTGGGTCTGTGCCGTCCACCATCATCGCCGTCGGGGTTTCGTCGTCGTCCAGATGTCACCATTCCTCCGTTGACGCCAATTGCCATCCCTTCACCATCTCCTATCATCATCCCTCCGCCATCTCCTGTACCATCTCCACGCCACAAGGTCGCGCCTTCCAGGAGGGGGCGTTCTGTCACACATATTAAGTTTTGTTTGTTCTTAGTTTCTGTTTTCATGGACTTTTGGTTTGTTATTTTCAATCACATGTGTTTCTTTGTCTTAGTTTCCCGCCAGTCATCAGTTGTCATGGACACTCATCTAATCATCACACCTGTTCGTTGTCATCTCATTATCACTGTGTATTTAAGTTGCTTTGTTTTGCACAGTTGTCGGTTGTTGTTTGTGTCTGCATTTGTTTCACACACTCCCTTTTACACCTTCTGTATTTACCAGTTTACTTAATTATTATTAAAGACTTTATGTATTGAAACCAGTGGAATCTTCTTCATCTTGTGACAGAGTGAGATTTGACATAGAGGATCATATTTAGAAATATCAGTTTTATTTACTTTAAATCTCAGTTTCTATCTCTCTCTTTCTTCATTATAGCTCTCCTTTTCCCTGGAGTAAATCATGTGCTCAGCCAAAGAAATTAGCCTCCATGAGACTCCAGCATTTTAGCAAAGACAGCAACTGGCTGACCAATAAAAAGTGGTATCCTACGACAATGGACCTGTTTTTGTTTTACACAAACACTATTTAAAGCAAAAACTGTACATTTAGGCCATACATATTGGTTATGTTGTCGATACATGACACAATGTTTAAAAGCTAAATACATGTATCTGCTGAGTAACATCTAAGCCTGGCTCATCAGTTTGTGCGTGTTAAAGCCCAACAACAAGGAATCAGCCTCAGGCTGGACTGCTAATGCGGCCTTTTTTGCTGGGCAAGAGGGTGTTGCATGCTAGCAAATCTGTTTTTACCAGCCACAGCCAACGCTGGCCGATGTCAGTGCTTTTTAGTGTCAGTTTTTTGCTAACCATTCTTAGTAAGTAACAGTAACAGAACTGTGTGACTGGACACTGATGCTAGCGCTGTGGCCTGCAGTGCACGATGGGTAAGTTTGGCAAAAGACGATGTTGAATAGTTCAGCAGTCATGCCAACTACCTGCTTGTAATCATGTGAATGGTCTAAATTCTCCAGTGGTGTGTGAGTATGAGTGTGTATGTGTGTTGGGTTACTCTAAAGGTCAGCTGACGGGAATATAGGATGAGGTAGCAGTTGAGAAGGCACGTGGTATATGTGTTTAAGACATGCGGTTTAAATTAAATTGGTGTAGAAATAATTTTCAAACAAGTGTTACTTACAATTAATTGTAAAAATGTATCAGTAATTTCTGAGGGAAAATTATTTCTGCACCAATTGTTTTCTTTATAGAACCTCTAACCTGCCTGTATTTATTTAA